TAAGCAGCACATGAATTTGTTGTTCCTAGGTCTATACCAATAACGATATCATTCAGTGAAGGTGTTGCCTAAAAAAAGGATAAAACGGGTGTTACTTAATGAAAATTACGTCGAATATTTCTCATAATTAAGTTTAGATTACTTTGATGGCTTCTAGTACTGCCAACAAAAACGTAGCTCTTAAGATTATCACAAAAATGGTCTTTYAATTAGCCGTTACTGTTTGAAGTTTTTGATATTTTTACTTAAAAAAAAGWTTTTCAAAGTTACAAACATGTACTAAATAAATGTGGTATCTGCGTCGCTTTTGAAACAGTTGTTATTGTTTTGTTCCCTAAATTCGAGTTTTTGCTTCATTTACAGGGTCATTAACTTATGATTAATCTGATTACAAAATCAAAATACACTTACAGCCATAGTTATGTAAATATGAAGAAAGAATTGCCGACACTCTTAATTTAAATGCTTCATGTAAAYCGAATCAAAAACACACTAAAAWTTTTTTGCACCTACTGAAGAGATAAGATTTATCAAAACTTTCGTAGTGCGTTTAATAAAGACCGTTTCCTCTAATACGAAAATGCTATGGACAGCAATTTTAAATTTTAGGAGTTAGCAGTAAAATTTCGACATTTGTCTTCCCCATTTAAATTATCCATGATTTAAGTGTGATATGGTATGATTATTAAGAAATAATTGATGTAGATTTAACACTTTTTGTCGCTGTGAATAAAATTGTTTCACTATTCTATATTATGTTAGATTAAAAATTACCAGTGGAACTTCTAACATTTTTGACGATTTTGAAAAACTGATAAAGTACATCATTACATCATTCGCAGACTTCCAAACTCCTTCTCGACATATCCCGGAATTTTCCAAGTCTTTCATTCTGCTTATTATATTTTTAATTTGATTTATTTTATTTTCCTGATATTTTCGTTATATTTAGAATACAGTAAGCTAAAATTATTTTATAAAAAGTTTGAATTTAGATAATAATTAGACTTTTGGTAATTCTTAGGTTGGTTTTAGAGCTTTAATAAAATACAAGAGTATTTATGATTACATTTATTTTTTATTAAGTTACAATAACGTAATATTATATTGTTAATGATTCATTTTAATGAAAAAATAATTTTTTGATTCTGTTTTGCAAAATTTTCATTCTTCTAATAAATAAAAAAAAAACTTCATTGTAAAAACAGGAATTGAGTAATGTTAAAACTTAAACATTTATTTCGAATTGTCATTTTTAGTTCTCATAAAATTATAAATTAWTCATAATTATCATCAGAATTATAATCATCATAACTCGGCATGAACTCAAAATTATATTGACGCACAAGAGAATCACATTTTGATTTTGCAACTTTTTCGAGTTTGTCTACTTCGTCTTCGCTTCCAAGTTCTAGTGAATTTAATTTTTCTTGTGTGTCCTTACAGAAGTTGTAAATTTCTGTGTACGRCGAGCCTAAGTGCYTTTTGTCTAAATTATACTTTACACTTTCGCAGTAATTGAAGAGAGYTTGTTTCRTTAKCGCRAATTTTTCAAATCGTTTGTCTTCTTCRGCTTGKTYTTYAACTTCTTTTAAAAYGYTTTTTACTTCACTGTCACTTCTGCCGCCTCTTGTGTATAATAATTTTAAATCCTTTTCGTTATTGCGTAATTTTTCTTTCGCTTTTAATGTAAGAATGCCATTTTGATCAACGCTCATTGTCAGTTGTACTT